TCACTCATAGAGGCTATTATGGACACAATATTCTGGGTTTTCTTTTTGTATGTTTCAATCTCCAGCCAATAGTTTTGGCATATATATATAGGTGTGTGTGTGTAAGTAGGTATGTGTTTGGTTGTGGCCTCGTCGGCTAGATAGTACATCTTTATTTTTTTTTGGTTTGTCTACCATTGTTTGTATGGTTATTCTCTTTGAGGTGACCTCTGGGTCCAGGCTTCACTTTTTTAGAGGTTGTGCTGCCCAACCTTTTTGCCTCATAAGTTTCGTTTAGCTAGTATGTTTCAGTGGGTAACTCGATGTATTAGGGTATCGAGTGCTAGTTACGCCCCCTATTTCGGGGCGTGACAAACTTGGTATCAGAGCAGGTCGTATCCCGGGGGGTCTACAAGCCGTGTCTAGTAGAGTCTTGTTTATGGGTGTGTTGTGCACCATACTTATAATCAAGAGGCTATAGGGCATTTAGGAATGCTTACATTTCATTAAACTGATAGATCGTGCTATAGTGCAAAAGTATAAGAACGTTTGAAATCTAAGTCGTGCTTCATGTTTCTTATCTAACAGGCTACACTCGCTCCGGATATGGAAGATCGAGAGATAGGTATGGATCCAAGGGAAGGTACTAGCCGTTCCCCACCGGGTCAAAGAGATAAATTTCCCTCGGAGGCACAGGGTGGATCTCCAGTACCCCTAGTACCAGCCTCCCCGGCACCTATTGAAGCCCGAGGAGATGCAGTACCCCCAGCCTCACCAGTTCCATTTGTACCTGAGGAAGCTACGGACACAGGACCTCTAGTACCTATTGTTTCTCTACCAGAGATCTCTGGGGAGCAGGGGATAAGAGAGGCAGTTCAGTTGCTAACTAGGATGGTTTCTATTCATGAGCGACAACTGGAGTCAGGAGTAGATATTCAGAGCGACCGGTCGGAAAGTTCGAAGGTACGAGAGTTTCTTCATTTGGCCCCTCCGTTATTTACATGATCTAGTCTTACTGAGGATCCCCAAGACTTTATAGACCATATATATAGAGTATTGAAAGTGATGCATGCCTCCGTCACAGAGGCTATGGAGTTGGCTTCTTTTCGGCTACGTGATGTAGCCATCCTTTGGTATGAGGCATGGGAGAGATCTAGAGGACCTGATGCTCCGCCAGCAGAGTAGGAGGACTTCTCTGAGGCCTTCCTTGCCTACTATTTGCCACGGGAAGTTCGAGAGGCTCGTCTTGACCAGTTTATCAATTTGAAGCAAGGAACCATGGGTGTGAGGGATTATAGCCACATGTTTAATTCTTTGGCAAGATATGCACTAGATATTGTACATACCATGAGAGCCAAAGTTCATCATTATGTTGATCACAGATTGTAGGGTAGCATTCCTATTAGATGATGTAGATATTTCCCGCATACAGGCTTTCGCTCAGACTACAAAGGACCTTTCTAAACGGATTTGTGATACCCGTAGGGGTAGGGAGCAGAGTAAGAAGGCCCGTACTATGGGGTCTTATAGGGAGCCACATGGTGATTTTAGGCCTCATTTCCATCGATATCCACCTCGGCCAGCGGGTAATGTCTCACCACAGGTGCAGGGACTGCATTTTGATCGTTATAGTCAGTCAGGACCAGGTCAGAGCTTAGGCCAGCCTGAAGGTCATCGACAGGATCATTCCGTACAGGTAAGACATCTCACTCCTCATTGTACACAATGCAGTAAGCCGCACATTGGGCAGTGTAGACAGGGTTCAGGTGCATGTTATCATTGTGGGCAGACTTGACATTTTATTAGTCGATGCCTGAGGTTGAGCAGAGGTGATCTAGCTCAGCCTTCAGGATCCACAACATCTTCACCCTCAGTCCGTGCCCCACGACCAGGACCACAATCTATTCAAGGTCGTGGTAGAGGAAGAGGTGAAGGAGATACAGGTTTGAGCGGTGGTCAGAATCACTTTTATGCACTCACAGGACGACAGGATTCAGAGGCATCCCCTGATGTTGTTACAGGTATATTGACGATATCTTCTCAAGCTGTTTATGCATTGATAGACCCTGGCTCTACATTTTCATGTATCACTCTATTTATTGCTAGTAAGATTGACATGAAATCTGAGTTGTTGCCACAACCAATTGAGGTGTCTACACCGGTTGGCGATTCTATTTTAGCTAGTTGTGTTTTTTGGGGTTGTACGGTTTTAATTAATGATCGTCCAACCTCCGCTGATTTAGTTGAGTTGATTATGCTAGATTTTGATGTTATCATGGGTATGGATTGGTTGGCAGCTTGCTATGCTAATATTGATTGTCGTACAAATATAGCCCGATTTTACTTTCCAGGTGAGCCAGTCCTTGAGTGGAAGGGTAATGCAGCCACACCTAAGAGTAAGTTTATTTCATACCTTAGGGCTCGGAAGTTGATTGCTAAAGGTTGGATATACCATATGGTTCATGTACAAGATATTGATAAGGAGCCCATGACTCTTCAGTCAATTCCTATCGTGAATGAATTTCCAATGGTATTCCCTGATGATCTTCCAGGAATTCCCCCAGAAAGGGAAATTGATTTCGCTATAGACTTGCTTCCTGATACGCAACCTATATCGATTCCTCCCTATAGAATGGCACCTGCAGAACTAAGAGAATTGAAGGAACAACTGAAGCACTTGCTTGATAAAGGCTTTATCAGGCCAAGTACTTCCCCATGGGGTGCCCTAGTACTCTTTGTTCGAAAGAAAGATGGATCCCTACGGATGTGTATTGACTATAGACAACTAAATAAAGTCACTATAAAGAATAAATTTCCTCTTCCACAGATTGATGACTTATTCGATTAGTTACAAGGTGCCAAATGCTTTTCCAAGATTGACTTGTGGTCTAGTTACCATCAGTTGCGAGTCAGGGAAGTTGATATCCCAAAAACAACATTTAGGACGAGGTATGGCCATTTTGAGTTCCTTGTCATGTCTTTTGGGCTTACAAATGCCCCAACAGCTTTTATAGATCTTATGAATCAGGTCTTCAAACCATTCTTGGATGAATTTGTGATTGTGTTTATTGATGATATTCTTCTATATTCACGGTCGGAAGCAGAGCATGTAGACCACTTGCGAGCAGTATTGCAAACTCTCCAAGATTGCAGGTTATATGCTAAATTCTCTAAATGTGATTTTTGGCTTACCTCAGTAGCTTTTCTTGGTCATGTTATTACAAGTGAGGGTATTAAGGTTGATGGACAAAAGTTTGAAGCAGTGATGACTTGGCTGAGGCCCTTGAATGCGACGGAGGTTCGCAACTTTTTAGGCTTGGCGGGGTATTACTGAAGGTTTGTGGAGGGATTCTCTTCTATTTCTGCACCACTGACAAAATTGACACATAAGGCAACGAAGTTTCAGTGGATCGAGGCATGCGAGCAAAGCTTTCATGAACTAAAAAAAGGCTTACCACTGCACCTGTCCTAACTCTTCCAGATGGTAATGAGGGCTATGTTGTTTATTGTGATGCCTCAAGAATTGGCCTAGGTTGTGTTCTTATGCAGCATGGTAAGGTTATTGCATACGCCTCTAGACAGTTGCGGAAGCATAAGCAGAATTATCCTACACACGATCTTGAGTTGGCTGCAGTTGTCTTTGCCCTAAAATTTGGCGACATTATCTATACAGGGTTCATATAGATGTGTTCACCGATCATCAGAGCCTTCAGTATTTACTTAAGCAGAGGGAGTTGAACCTACGACAAAAGAGATGGCTAGAATTATTAAAGGACTACGATGTTGACATTTTATATCATCCCGGCAAAGCTAATGTTGTTGCTGATGCGCTCAGCCGGAAGTCCATGGGTAGTCTAAGTCATGTTGAAGTTGATAAGGCTGGAATTACAAAAGACATATGCCAGCTAGTTAATTTGCAAGTACGCTTGGTAGATGCAGGAGACGGATGTGTTGTCGTTAAGAATATGGCAGAATCTTCCTTTGCGACTGAAGTGAAAAGGCAGCTACATGAAGATCCTGAGCTTAGGAAATTGAGGAAAAAGATTCCACAGCAGCAGCACCCTTTATTTGAGCTAACTGGAGATGGAGTCCTTAGATACCAGGGTCGCTTATGTGTACCGGCAGTTGGGAAGCTCCGTACAAATATTCTCTTAGAGGCCCATTATTCTAGATATGCATCTCACCCTGGAGCGACGAAGATGTATCAGGACCTTCGACAGATCTATTGGTGGAATGGTATGAAAAAAGATATTGCAGAGATGGTAGCTGAATGTCCCAACTGTCAACAAGTTAAAGCAGAGCATCAGAGGCGTGGAGGCCTAACCCAGTATATTAAGCTTCCGTTATCGAAATGGGATATGATAAATATGGACTTCATCACTGGTTTGCCTCGCACTCCACGAAGATTTGATTCCATTTGGGTAATTATCGATAGGCTGACAAAATCTGCTCATTTCTTGCTAGTTAGGACGACATATTCAGCTGAAGATTATGCTAGGCTTTACATTCAGGAGATTGTTCGCCTTCACGGAGTTCCATTATCTATTATCTCAGATCGAGGAGCTCAATTTACAGCACATTTTTGGAGATCGTTTCAGAAAGGTCTAGGCACTCAGGTAAATCTTAGCACCGATTTTCATCCACAAACTGATGGACATGCAGAACGTACTATTCAGACGGTTGAGGATATGTTACCTGCTTCTGTGTTGGATTTTAAAGGAAGTTGGGATCAACATCTACCTCTGATCGAGTTCGCTTATAATAACAACTTTCAAGCTAGTATTTAGATGGCCCCTTACGAAGCACTATACAGGCGGAAGTGTAGGTCCCCAATCAGTTGGTTTGAGCTCGGGGAAGCAGATTTGCTAGGTCCTAATCTAGTCTAACAAGCGATTGAAAAGTTTAAGCTTATTAGAGATCGTCTTTATACAACATAGTGTCGACATAAGTCTTATGTAGATGTTCGCCGACGGAACTTAGAGTTTGAGGTAGAAGATTGGGTTTTCCTGAAAGTATCGCCTATGAAGGGCATCATGCGATTTGGAAAGAAAGGGAAGCTCAGTCCTAGGTACGTTGGACCGTATAAGATTATTCGGAAGATCGGTATGGTGGTATACGAGCTTTATTTGCCTTCAGAATTGGAAGCAGTTCATCCTGTATTTCATGTTTCTATGTTGCGGAAGTGCATTGGAGATCCTTCACGTATTATGCCCATTGAAAATATTTGTATCGCTGAGGATTTATCTTATGCAGAGGTACCAATAGCTATTTTAGATCGGCAAGTAAAAAAGCTTCGAAATAAAGATGTAGCTTCTGTGAAAGTGTTATGGAGAAATAACAACGTCGAGGAAATGACTTGGGAAGCGGAAGAGGAAATGAGGAAGGAGTACCCCCAACTGTTTACCACTTAAGGTGAGTCACATTTCGATTATTGGCAATTATTTCTTCACAACGACTTAGTTATATTTTAAGTAGCTTGAAGGTGAAATTTATATGTCTTCTTACGAGATAGCTATGCAAAGCTTTGTAGTTAAAATTTTCAGAATTTGACTTTAGGTTTGCGACTGTAACAAATATAGACTCGCAAATAAAATACTGTGAGAAAAAAAATGAAAATACAACCAAGGAATTGTTTAGATCCATTCGTAGGTGAATGTTCATAAGGGGGAAGAATGCAAGATCCCGTACTTTTTCTCTAATCGTGCATAATATATGTGGCGTAGTATGACATGGTTATATGAGGTGATATGACTTTATATCGAACATTGGAGATTAAAATTGCAAGTAGGTGGCAATATCAAGGAACTAAACTAAAGTTTTAGGTCAAAGGGACTCCTCAAACAAAGTTCATGATAAAAGAAATGGCTCAGGTAGAACTTCTCCCGTTTGAAAGGTTTAACTTGTCCCATACCTTGTGGATAAGCCTATGAGTGTAAAACATGCTAAGAATAGTGTGTTATGAGGTATTATAATAGCAAGTTTGGAAGTCAAGAAAATTAGTGAAACTAAAGTCGGCAAAAGTTATCGAAGTTTCTCTAATAATATTTTCTTAACTTTGGGTCAAATGTCTTGGATGTTTTCTCCCAATATACAAAGAGTTAGAAGGCCTATCACCATTAAATCAAAGGCCTACAAGTCTAGTTTTCAACGCACAAAACCCAGTATCCAACCGACATCGGAATAAAATGTTATGAGGGTTTTACTATGGACTGCCAGGGTAGAATCCGGGTCGGGTAAAAAATGTGGTATGTCGGCTTACTCAACGTTTTAAGCCATGAAAACATTACATTTTACTTCCAAACCACAAATAAAGCTTAAGAGAAGGTTCCTATGGAGTACTTGCATGATGAAAGTCAGTTTTTGACGATTTCTACCATTAAAGATTCCAGCTGTGTATATATAGTGTTTGCGAAGTTTAGGACGTAAGGAACAACTTTCGTGAAGAAGCTACGGCCATTCGAGCGTTCATTGAAAAGGTATGTTAAGGCGAAGCTACGTCCCTCATTTTAGCACCACTCCTGGGAAATTCCTAAAACGCCAAATGTGATATTTTGCTATTCTCTTGCTAGAAAGACCTTCAGTGAAAGGCATTGGGATCACAGCTGAATTATTTTCATGATTCTGTTATTTTGATATTTCACTCGTTCGGATAAATAGAGTGTTCGACATCTACACGTCATTTTATCAGTTTCCTTGATTATATTCCGCACGTATGAATTTGTATTCTTCCTTGGGTGATGTGAATTAAATGTCACGCGAGACCCTTACTACTTGTGACCAGCCCTCTTTTTCCACTAAGGTTATTATTAAAAAAAGTCTTTAAAGTAGCTCACGACCTTCAAAACTCTCAAATATAATTTAAATGTAAACTATTAGAACACTTGGTTTTTGAAATATTTCTTTTATAAATTATCTAGGAACCAAGTTAGGAACTAAGTAAGTCACCTTAAACTTGTTGTGAATATCAACAAGGCTAGGTTATCCTCTAAAATCCGAGTTAACTTTTCAAGCTTATTTGGAAGAACTTATAAAGTTCCATGAGATTGTTATATGTTATACGAAAGTTATTATGGGGTTATGAGAACAAGACTACAAACGGGCCAAGATTGGCAACATGACAACAGTAACTCATAGGTGTTATAAATCCATGAATGACATGCTATGCATTCTACTCCTGAGCTATAATCGGTAGGTATGGGGCCTATTGCCTATATTTATACATATGAGACACAGATGGCCACAAATTGGCGAATATAATGCCGGTACGCTACCGGAAAGCACCACCATTGCTAGCATTTGGTTGGGTATGTTATGCATTTGCATATATATATATATGTGTGTGTGTGTGTGTTCACGACATACGATTATACGAGCATACCATGCATATTTAAGTAGTAGGGGGCTAAAGGTCAGCCATGGAGATTATTTGGGTTTCAGTTTCAGGTGGTATCTCTATTACCCTTTTACAATAAATGTTTATGATTTTAATTTTCGCTTTACATACCAGTACATTTTTATTCGTACTGACGTCCCTTTTCCTGGGGACGCCGCTTTTTGTTTTGTGCGAGTAGGTACAGGCAGGGACTATAATCGACCCACCCGCTAGGATTCATGTTCAGCTGTGAGTTGGTAAGCTCCATCTTATCCTGGGGCTATCAGAGGATGTTTACTTTTGTTGTATAGTTTGGGGTATATCGGGGCCTTGTCCCGACAGTGCTTATGTCACTCATAGAGGCTATTGTGGACACCATATTTTGGGTTTTCTTTTTGTATGTTTCAACCTCCAGCCAATAGTCTTGGCATGTATATATAGGTGTGTGTGATTGTAGTTATGTATTCGGTTGTGGCCTCGTCGGCTAGATAGTACATCTTTATTTTTTTCGGTTTGTCTACCATTGTTTGTATGGTTATTCTCTTTCAGGTCATGACCTCTGGGTTCAGGCTTCACTTTTTAGAGGTTGTGCTTCCCAATCTTTTTTCCTCACAAGTTTTGTTTAGCTAGTATGTTTATGTGTGTAACTCAATGTATTAGGGTATCGGTGCTAGTTACGCCCCCTATTTCGGGGTGTGACATTCGCTATACGTCTGGCTATTGGGAGTGGGTAGAGGATGTGCTTGCCCGCTGCAAGGAGACTTTGGATAACATCAAGACTTATGATGCTATCTTTACTTCAATGTTCACATACGACCACAACAAAAAATGTTCTCCAAGCCTTTTGCGAGAATTGGCGTCCATCCACCAATACGGTCTCTACCTTCGTCAGAGAGTTATCTATTTCTTTATGAGATTTGAGAACCATTGGAGGTCTTCCTGTTCATGGTTCCTTTTATGATGAAGTTATACCCTCGGCTAAGGAGTTGACACATGCAGATGATCAAGGGAAGTCTTTTATCCCAAGAAGCTGCTCCTTCTTGTTTTCGGCGTTCTACCGACTTACCAAAGGTGCCATCGATGAAGTCTCTTTTCGAGAATGGACAAAGTTTTGGTTTAAGGGGCCGAGAAAATATGTCGAGCCTTCGCCAAGGATGTCTAAGAATCGTACCAAACCAAGGATGAATCATGATCCTTCTGGAAATATTGACATGAGATTTTTGCCTCGAACCGAAGAAGAGAATGCTCCTTTTGTCTAGCTAGGCGTAGAAGAATCATTAGGGATGAGACTTATCTGGCGGCTTTTCTCGCATGTTGGCTTTGCAAGTTTGTTCTTCCTAACAAGAAAGCTGATTGTATTCGTGCTAGTGTCTTCAAAGTCACAAGCTTGATGGCTCATGGAGAAATATTTTCTTTGGCGGTTCCGGTCCTAGCAAACATCTATCGTGGCATCAGGGATATATCCAGTTCTTCAAACTTGGGTGCTTGCAATACATTACTTCCCTTCCATTATGTATATGGATGGATAGGTGAGTATTTTGAGACCTACTTCCGTGTTACCCGTCCTCAACGAGGTGTGAGAATGTGGTAAATTTCTGGAGAAAAGATGGCGAAACATTTTGACCTCGTTGACGCTCGCAAGTTATTTCAACAAGTGAATGTGCATGACCTCCACAATCTGGCCATGCTACAAGGAAAGGAGCTGCATATTGATGATAGTGGAAAATTGTCCACTTCCTGGAGCGATTTCCTTATAGGCCTTCGTTCAAGTTTTGTCACTTTGAGGCTGGATGATGAACTGATTGTGGAGCCTTATAGCCCTCACTGATTCAGTTGACAATTTGGATATTGTCAAGACGTTCCTGGTGCAATCGTAGAGCACCTTTATGATGGTTCACTGCTAGCTTTGGTGCAACTATGGGATTCATGTGTTTATCTTGGGAGCTCTTCGAAGATCATCATACCAATGCGTCCATCCAAAAAGAGGTCTTTAATGACTCGTGAGTATTCAGATTGGTGGCCATCCCATCGAGAGATTCTACTGAGACGAAGTACCCACATAATTTTGAGAGGTCCGAAAAAAGATGATGTTTCTTTACCAACCAAAGGAGAACAAATTCAAGAAAAGCTTCCTCGCTCTTTAAAGTCTCAGGTGACACCAAATATCCCTCCGCAATCTGTGAGTGTTGTTTCCAAGTCCAAAAGTTCAAAGGGAATAGAGTTGTTTCCAAGTCCAAAAGTTCGAAGGGCAAGGCTACACATGTGGATAACAGAGTTAAGGGTCCTTTACAAACTCCCAAGGCTGCCAACATCACTGATAAAGAGGTGATCGACGTAACTCTCAAGAGGAAGAAACCTTCCAGCTCATCGGACAAAGGTGTTGTAAAGTCACTTGGTATTGCACCATCTTGTAGCAACACGTCAAAAACGTCTATTTCACTCCATGAGATTGACATTAGTGCTAGTGCAGACTCTAGCTCCAATGAGATTGACATTAGTGCAGACAAATAGACGTCAAAAACGTCTATTTCACTCCATGAGATTGACATTAGTGCTAGTGCAGACTCTAGCTCCAATGAGATTGACATTAGTGCAGACAAATAGACGTCAAAAACGTCTATTTCACTCCATGAGATTGACATTAGTGCTAGTGCAGACTCTAGCTCCAATGAGATTGACATTAGTGCAGACAAATAGACGTCAAAAACGTCTATTTCACTCCATGAGATTGACATTAGTGCTAGTGCAGACTCTAGCTCCAATGAGATTGACATTAGTGCAGACAAATAGACGTCAAAAACGTCTATTTCACTCCATGAGATTGACATTAGTGCTAGTGCAGACTCTAGCTCCAATGAGATTGACATTAGTGCAGACAAATAGACGTCAAAAACGTCTATTTCACTCCATGAGATTGACATTAGTGCTAGTGCAGACTCTAGCTCCAATGAGATTGACATTAGTGCAGACAAATAGACGTCAAAAACGTCTATTTCACTCCATGAGATTGACATTAGTGCTAGTGCAGACTCTAGCAATGTTAGCCAAGAGCTACATTGGAAGCTTTTGAAGAAAAAGCCTAAGGACCTGAACACTCAACAATGCGAGTTCGCTGAATTGGATTCCATTAGTATTGATACTACGATCTTTGAAGATGGTGCTGCTGGTTCTACAATGCCCTTGACAGAATTGGCACATCAGGTAAAAGTCACCTCTTGAATATTTCTCTAAACTTGCCTCCCTTTTTTTTTTTAATCATTAGATATTAATTCTATTTTTTTAATTATCCAGTTGGGTCTTAGGGACATCCCTAGCGATGTAGATGTATTTGAAGATTGTATCACAAGCTTGAACTCCCTCAACGTGGCGAAGAGTTCTCATCTCCCTCTTGTTGAAGTTAAGAGTCAAGCTGCAAATGAGATTCAACTAACAAAGCCGATGGTCCCTTTTTCTGAAAATGTTGAAATTTCTCAAAATATCTCAACTACTAATGTGGAGGTTGTTGAAACTTCTCAAATTGGATGTTCAGATGTTTCCAGGGATTTGGTCCGCCCTCTGCTGAGAATTGCCTCTAATTTTGAACCACAAAAGACTATTTCTAGCTTCAAATTATCTTACATTTCTGGAATGTGGTGTACCTTATGTGAGTGTATTACTCAATTCTCTGTTGAATCTCCAGAGAATCTCAAAGAGTTGGAGGAAGGTGTTGCCTTGAATCTTAAAGGGCTTCGAGAAGTTAACATCATCAACCTTTCTCCTTTAGAGGTTCTTCTTGAAGATTTTTTCAAGAAACATAGAGATTACGATGTTGCAAGGTTGTCCACTTCTCAAAAGATAACAAGGGATTCTCATTAAGAGTTGCTTTCTGTTGCACAACAATGTCTTGATACCGCAAATGAGGAGAGAATCAATATGGACAAACAGTTGGAAGAACTTCAAAAGGTCCTTACAAGAGCTGGAAAAGAGCTAAAAGTGTGGACTTCAAAGAAGAAGAAAACCATCTCACTTATTGAAGATCATCAAAAGAGGCTGTCTAAAAATCAAGAGACTATCACTAACCGTGAAGATGAAATTCATGCCATCGAGAAAATCATTCCCTTGTCGAAATCAGAAATAAAAGAACTAGATAAGCTAAAGGAGGAGGCTGAGACAAGTCGCCACCAAATCCTTAGTCATGAGCTTTTTCCTTAGTCTTCTTCCTGCATATGGACATTCTCTTTCATTTTCTTGTTCTATTGTGTTTTTTTTCCCTTGATTGTTTTCTGGAACATTGCTATGATGTAGTGACAATACTTCTTGAATGAATAAAAGTGTTATCTTTTTTCTTCTCAAATGCCTTCTTTTATTTCTCTATTTCAAATGCTTGTCGTGTGATTTGTAACTTGCTCTATATGCCGGACAACTTTCCCCAAGATTTCAGCTTTGAGCTCTTATGTTTGAAATTCAGTAACTCGTAGTAGGAACCTTCAAATAGCGAGTGTGTCATTTCATTGTAAATATAACCCACACCTATACAATATATGTGAAACTCATGACCAAAAGATTTCCATGTTAGTACGGCTATTATTCCAAAGTTAGCTCGAATGCTGCCTTGACCGACTTTTCAGCTTTGAGCACCTGCAGTAGGAAACCAATAACTCGATGTGGGAGCATCGAAATAACATGATTCTTCTTTCTTTGGAAGCATAACTCATAGAAATACAACATATGTAAAAATCATGGCTAAAAGATCTCCAGATTAGTACAGATGTATTTTTAAAGTCAGCTTAAATTCTGCCTCGCTCAACTCTTCAGCTTTGAGCGACTTTGGGAGAAAGTCAATAGCTCGGCGTAGGAGCCTCAAAATGATGTGATTCTTGTTCCGTTGGAAGCATAACTCATAGAAATACAACATATGTAAAAATCATGGCTAAAAGATCTCCAGATTAGTACAGTATAGTATTTTTAAGTCAGCTTAAATCTGCCTACGCTCAACTCGTTCAGGCTTTGAGCGACTTTGGGAGAAAGTCAATAGCTCGGCGTAGGAGCCTCAAAATGATGTGATTCTTGTTCCGTTGGAAGCATAACTCATAGAAATACAACATATGTAAAAATCACAGCCAAAAGATTTCCAGATTAGCACAGATATATTTTCAAAGTTAGCTCGAATTCTGTCTCCCTGAACTCTTCAGCTTTGAGCGACTTTGGGAGAAAGTCAATAGCTCGGCGTAGGAGCCTCAGAATGATGCGATCCTTGTTCCGTGGGAATCATAACTTATAGAAATACAACATTTATAAAAATCATGGTCAAAAGATCTCCAGATTTATACAAATATATTTTCGAAGTTAACTTGAATTCTGAAACTATTTGATTCTCATTTCATTTTGAGGAGTGCATCTTCGGTGTGAAATCCAAAATTCGTTGTAAGAGTGGTGAAACCACGAACTTCTTATTTCATTATGAAGAGCGCATCAAGCAAAACACTATTTATAGAAGTTACAACAAAATTCATTCCAAATTGATGAGAATAAATTTTTCAAGTTGACTATACGCCCAAAATGCCATTTCCTCAACCTTGTGCGGTCTTGACAACAACAAAAGACTGTCTCTTGAACTTGGAGTGTTCTCATCATGATCTTTGTGGCTATACCATTTCAATATAGAGCTTTGATCCGAAGGGTATCCCGATTTGATGTTATAGGTAAAGATGCCCCTAATTTTGAGTAACTTACTGAAGCATCAGTGAATTACACAAAATTATCTCCACCGTAAGCAAAAAACTCAAGTAGAATCGCATCATGATTCTTTGTGGCTATACCATTTCAACATAGAGCTTTGATCCGAAGGGTATCCCGATTTGATGTTATAGGTAAAGATGCCCCTAATTTTGAGTAACTTACTGAAGCATCAATGAATTACACAAAATTATCTCCACCGTAAGCAAAAAAACTCAAGTAGAATCGTAAGTCGCTTGATCCAATGCCAATGAATTCCTCGGCCTGTCGCATATCAATGATTCAAATCAAAATTCTTTTGAATTGATCAGATTAATACCCTAAGTTGACTTCCAAATTTAGCATGTTTGATATGCAACTTTGAACGATGACAGTTGAAGATCCATGACTCGATGTAGGAGTCTCAGTTTTACGAGCTTCTTCTTTTGTTGCGGAGAGGGATTCAAGAACTTCAATGTGTGTAACAATGATGATCAAGATCTTTATGAATTCCCACTAATAGGCCTTTGAAATGCTCAGATCAACTCCAAAATATGATTATTATTATTATTTTTTCAGCTTTGAGTGGCCGTGGTAGAAAATTCACAAGTTAGCGAAGAAATGTCTGAATCACGAGCCGATTTTCACGTTGGGAAATAGGCTCCAAAAATCTTCTCCTTTGCTCATTTGTGACGCATTTAAACTCATGTGTTAGCTACATAAAATTTAAAGAGCTAGTGTGATGATCATGCAAGGCCACCAAACTTTTTGTTTTTACTCATTTGACTGAACTTAGAGTGATTACTCCAAGCGCCTACGTACCTCGGTGAAGAGGATCAAGTCATATCGCAGTTCAAGCTGATGAGTTTTTTTTTTAATTTTTTTTGGGCCGTACACAGTTTATACTCTTGCGGGCCAGGCGTATCATGCAGTTTATGCTCATACCTTAAGGATCGTAGCCATCCTTCATGGGAAGTATTACTTCAGAAACTTGGCGTTGATTGGACCAACTATTACACCATCTTGGTCTATAATTTTATAAGCGCCACTTGAATATGTTTCCTTCACAACATACGACCCGTCCCATTTCGATGTAAATTTGTCACCAATGCGTTTGTTGAGGATTATGGGTCTCCGGGCTGCTAAGACCAAGTCTCCCACTTGAAATGATCGAGGTCGCACCTTTTTGTTGAATGCTCTTGGAAGTCGAGCTTGATAACACTCCAACCTTTGTTGTTCATCCAATCTCTTTTCATCCAATGCCTCCAACTCTGCTAGACGAAGTTGAGCGTTACTTTCAGTTGTAAGTCCTTCTTGGATTGCTATTCGCAATGATGGAATTTGCTTCTCCAATGGAAGGACTGCTTCTACGCCATACACCAATGAAAACGGAGTCTCTTGCGTAGCTGATCTAAAGGTTGTATGATATGCCCATAAAGCTTCACCAATTCTCTCATGCTAGTCCCTTTTATTCTTTGCAACTACTTTCTTGAACAGGTTACCAAGTGTCTTGTTAAAAGCTTCAGCAAGACCATTGGCAGGTGCATTGTACATTGTACATTGAAGAGTTATGTTGCTTAAAACTGAACTTCTCGCACAAACTACTCATGAGTTTATTGTTGAAGGGTGTTCCATTATCAGTAACTATACATCTTGGTATGCCATATCTAAAAATTATGTTTGATTTGATAAAATCAACAATATTTTCCTTCTTTACCTCTTTTAATGGTACAACTTCAGCCCATCTAGAGAATGAGTCGATGGCAACCAAGATATACATTTGTCCTTTTGATGACTTTGGAAGAGGTCCAACAACATCAAGTCCCCATGCATCGAAGGTCCATGAGGCTACAGTTGGATACAGAGCCTCTGGTGATTTATGGATGTAATTAGCATGGAATTGACACGCTTGACACATTTTGGCATGCTCTAAGAAGTCCATCACCATTGTTGGCCAATAGTAGCCCATCCTCTTGATGCGAAAATGAAGTTTAGGCCCTGATTGGTGTGCTCCACATGTGCCAGAATGTGCCTCCTCCATTGTTTGTTGAGCTTCTTCTTTGTCAAGACACCGCAAGAATAGTCCCTCATAATAACGACGAAACAGTATCCCATCGTGAAAGATGAACCATGGTGCTCTTCTCTTAACGTCTGCTCTTACTCGTGGGTCATCAGGCAGTCTTCCATGTTCAAGATACTTACTCAGTGGTTTTCTCCAATCTTCTTCTTCAACCACTCGAACAGATATATAATGGCTTTCATCGATTTGAAGATCAAGACAACCAGGAATAACCCATCGATGACATACACACACCTTTTTTTGTCTCATCTTCTCCGAGTGCCATTGTTGTAGCCAAGTTAGCCAAAGCATCTGCCATGCAATTTTCTTCTCTTAGGACGTGATTTAAGAACACTTGATCAAACCTTTCAAGTAAGAAAGTAGCATATTGGTGATATGACAAAAGATCTTCCTTCTTTACCTCGTAACTCCCCGAGAGTTGATTGATGATCAATTGAGAGTCACCATAGACATCCAATTGAGGAATCTTCATATCTGATGTCATTTCAAGGCCCACAATCAAAGCTTGGTACTCTGCGGCATTATTGGAACAGGTTTCACCTAGAACAAATGAAAATGGTAAGATTAGTCGTTCTGGATATATCAAAAAGACTCCCACCCCTGTACCATCTCGACGTGCAGATCCATCAAAAAACATTGTCCATGCTGGCATCTCTTCAGTAAAAAATGCATCTTCATCAGGGAACTCATCTGAAGTTTCCCATTTTCCCGGAAGAGGGTGATCAACAAGGAAATTAGCAAGTGTTTTCCCCTTCACAGCCTTTTGAGGTGTATAAATGATCTCATATTGATTAAACAATATAAACCATCTTGCTAGACGTCTTGAGAGAACTGGTCGAGTCATTACGAACTTCACGGGATCAGCCCGAGAAATTAGCTTGATAGTGTACGCTTCAAAATAATGCCTCAATTTTCTTATCGCATAAAGCAATGCTAAGCACAGCTTCTCAATGGACGTATAATTCAACTCAGCTCCTATCAAGGTACGACTTAGATAGTACAATGCTTGTTCTTTCTTAGCTTCATTCTCTTGAGTAAGAAGTGCCCCAAGTGATCGCTCTTGCGATGTAATGTACAGTATCAATGGCTTTCCAAGAGTTGGTGCCCCTAATACAGGCGAATTCATCAAGTATCTCTTGATGCTTTCAAAGGCATTTCGACATGATTGGTCCCAGTGGAAAGGAGAATATTTCTTCATTAAATGGTTGAAAGGTTGACATCATCCAGCCATGTTAGAAATGAATCTCCGAATGAATGCTAAATTTCCTTGTAGACTGCAGAGGTCTCTCAAGTTCTTTGGCTCCGGCAATTTTTGAATGGCATCAATCTTTGCGGGATCAATTTCAATTCCACGGTGACGCACAATGAAGCCAAGAAACTTTCTTGAGGTAACCCCAAATGCACATTTGAGTGGATTCATCTTCAAGTCAAATTTCCTTAACCTTTCAAAAACAATTCGAAGGTCTTCAAGATGGTGTTCCCTTTGCTTCGTCTTTACCACCAAGTCATCAACGTAACATTCCACCCTCTTATGAAGCATGTCATCAAATATGTTTTGTATTGCACATTGATAGGTGGCCCCAACATTCTTTAGACCAAAGGGCATCACTTTATAACAATAAATTCCTTTTGGAGTTTGGAAGGCAGTGTATTCTTCATCTTTTGAAGACATTCTGATTTGATTATATCCAGAAGATCCATCCATAAATGACATAGCTTCATGCCCAGTTGTAGCATCAACCATGAGCTCAATGATTGGCAGAGGGAAGTCATATTTTGGACATACCTTGTTCAAATCTCAAAATCAACGTAGACACGTATTTGACTATTCTTCTTCTTAATAGGTACAATATTTGAGATCCACAACGGGTACTTGACTTCTCGAATAAATCCAGCTTCGATGAGCTTGTTGACCTCCGCTTCAATTTGTGTTACCAACTCAGGACGAAACACTCATTGTGACTGCTTTATAGGACGTGTTCCCTTTTCTATCCCCAAATAATGAATAGCTATCCTGGGACTAAGGCCCGACATTTCTCTGTACGATCAAGCAAAAACATCTTTGAACTCAACCAATAACTTAAAGTATTTCTTCTCTTCTTCTGGTGTAAGAAGTGCACTAATGAAAATTGGACGTGGATCTTCTAGAGTGCATAGATTTAGTTCTTTGAGGTCGTCTATGGTTGATTATACTCCATCCTCCAGTTGAGGGGGAGCCTCTTGGACATCATCATCTGTCTCATCAATGTCTGGACCTTTTTCCACTGTTATGTGATAGGATGATTGTGTCAAGTTTGAATCTTCTATCTGACTTCCCACTGTGATGGTTTCATCTTCCTCCTTATTAGTTTCTCCATAAAACTAGTTGGTGACAACAATTATGCTTCTTTTCACCCTCAAAGAACCATCGGTGGTGATTGACAATACAACATTTCTCTTCATACGTGATGGGAAAAACCATGAATCTCCTTGTCATCAGTTACATCACAAGAATCTTGATTTTCGTTCTCCAGCAACCTTCTTTCGGATAATGACTTTATTTTGGTTCCCAAACGATGAAATACAGAAGTATTTGAGGTGGTGGCATATTCGTCTACTTGTTTAGAGGATCCTCTTTCATCCTTGCGGCCCAATTTTTCAAATGCAGAGACACGGGGTGTCAATCTTCCAATGCGTTCAAACACCAAAGTCTGTTGTGGTGTTTTACCCTCCTTAGATTCCTTCGTCTTTTCTATAGAGGTGTAGTGGGATGAAGTTATTTCTTTCCCCTTCTTAGATGAAATCCGAAGAGGCTCCGGCAAGCTGAATCCTAACCCAAACTTAGGAGTGGCGACATAATATCCTTGTTTTCTCAACCGCATTTGAGACTTTGTAAGCCCATGTATCTTTTCACCAGTGACTTCCTCCGTGAGTTCTCTTAACTTTGCTGGATTTGAGAAGTTGTAACTTGATTTTTCAAATAATGTGAAGACCTTTTGATCAAAGTTCCCTTTTATCTGACTAACTTGGGTATTTTCTTTTGAAGGCTCCAAAGTGAAAGATGGGACTTGTGCAACTGGGACAGTCATTTTCTCCTTCAAATCTTGGAATGTTGTGTGACTCAATTCTTTCCTCGGTGGGTGAACTTGTTGAGTACATTCCTCTAGCAGTGATTGTCCCTTTTTTCGACGTTCACTTGGAATATAGTGAAAAATTGGTTGTTCATCATCAATATTGGTCTGCATGTCTCCTTTAGATGGTGAAAGCTTCATGGAAACCTCTTCCGTTCTCTTCTTAGACATCTTGGTAGTGGCCCATTGAACTTTATTATCTTCAAGATCAATCGAGTCGGCTTTTGCATGTTTCTCCATATTTGATCTTCCAGAATCTAAATAGAATTTTGCATCTGCAAATATGACTCAGTCTCAGTTGAAAGGATTGATGTCTGCATCAATTTTGACTACTTCACCTATCTTTCATATACTTCTATGCATTGATGCAAAGTAGATGGCACCACTCCATTTTTCATGAACCCAAGGACGTCCGAGCAACAAGTTGTATGATGTTTTGGCATCTATGACATGAATCAAAGTGTTTGATTTCACGTCGCCAATGGACAATTCTACGTGAATCTTCCCTATGGATCATTGTCCTCCTTGACTGAAACCTTGGATCGTTAGGTTACTTTTGGACAATTCATCAATAGAGATCCCAAGTTTTTTCAGTACAACTTTTGGCATGATATTGACTACCAAACCACCATCTATTAGTATGCGATTGAGATGTTGTTCTCGAATAGACCCTACAACAAACAAGGGACCTATTATGTAGCTTAGACCCTAACAACAAGTCATCATCGGTGAAGGCAATTGTAGCACAACATGCGGCAACTTTTTCATCAGTTTGATGTTCTTCTGTTATTGTTGGATTATGCTCACCTTTGCTTCCCTTTGTTTCGTCTGTGTTGGAAATAACATGTGTTGCACCAATTTTGACTACCACAAAAAGAATTTTTTTAGGAAAGAATTCATCCAATGTAATGGGCCTTCTAACCTTCTGCAATGAAGAACCATTGATATTTTGGCTAGTACAAGGCTTGACGCTTTTTGATGGTTGTAGTTGATTCACATCACTCCTTGTTGCTCTTGCCTTAGGAAGTCGTATCCTAAAGACTGCTTGATGTCTCCGCTTCTTATGAGTAACCAAAGTCCAATCATTAGATTCATTTTCTTTGTGGTTGTCTATCTCTAGTGAACTCTCAAGAGTTTTCCTTGGAAAATCAACTTCAATAGGCGTTAAACTTCCAAATTGCAAGAAAGTGGACCTTGAGCACTTCTTTTGATTTGGTTCTACACTAGCATGATTTTCCTCCGCTGTTTCATCCTGGTCAATGATGATTTTTCCTTCACTTACTAACATCATGATTTTCTCCTTCAAGATAAAACATTTACTCGTCGGGTGGCCAAGGACACGATGGAACTTGCAGTATCTAGGATCACTAACCTTATTGATTTCTTCAGGCCTCTTTGATTCAGTAAGATCAATAACTTTCTTAGCTAGCAATTCATCAAGAATCATAGGTACATCTGAATCTGGAAATGGGTAGACCTTTGCCTCTAACTCCTTCAAGGTTGGGAGCCGCCTCTCCTCCCTTGGATATTGACTTGGAGCTTCCTCCTCTTTTAGTTTACTCTTGGTGGTGACCTTTACAGAAGTTGCTTTCACCGCCATAGATTCCTTAGTCTGGATCTTTGAGGTCATACCTTTCTTGAACTCCTTCTTTTCCTTTGTCAGATCAGCAAAAGGAGATGCCTTCCCATGACTTGTGATGCTCAACTCCATGTCATGTGCTTGTGTAGAAAGTTCCTCAAAAGTTCGCGGTTTGATTCCTTGTAGTATGTATAGAAGTCCCTAATGCATACCCTGAATGCACATTTCCACAATAGATATTTCAGAAAGACGATCTCTCCATCGATTGATGTAATCCACCACAGGCTCATCCTTTCTTTGTTTAGTGCCGGTCAACTCTATCATGCTTACGGTTCGGCGAGTACTATAGAAACGATTGAGGAATTCCTTCTCGAGTTGCTCCCAACTATCAATGGACTCGTGTTCCATGTCGATATACCAGTCGAATGCATTCCCTTTTAGCGAACGAACAAACTGTTTTACCAAAAGGTCACCATGTGTTCCAGCATTGCTACAAGTTTCAACAAAATGGGCGATATGCTGCCTTGGGTTCCCCTTACCATCAAATTGTTGTAGCTTTGGTGGTTGATAGTTTGTTGGCATAGACAGATAATCAATCCGTCTGGTATATGGCTTGGAGTAATACAAGGAACTTTGGGGTGTTCCGCTATATTGAACCCTGATAGTGTTCGTTATCATGTCTTGCATCTGTTGGACATATAGTGCATCAACTGAAGCAGATTTTGTCTCCTTTTGAAATTTTGACTTTGCTAGAGATTCCTCAACGTCCTTGTTTCGTTGATTAAAACCAGATGGAAAAGTGTGGACATGACTTGACTCTCCAAGTGTGAAGGCCTCCAACTTGTTCATAAGTTGAGCAATATGAAGATTTTTGTCATCAACAAATTTCTTCAAGGCCTCAATGGTTTGCTCCATCATCGTAAACTTCTCGTCCATGTCAGTTGAGTCGGCCATCAAAGCATTGACATTCATTGAAGTTGGAGAATCCATTGAATCTTCAGATTCACCAAAGTTGGAGCCAATTTGAGAAAATTCTCCAAAGAACACAGACGCTAGATTGCCCCTAGGTGTTGCACTTACGACCATCGTATGAGAGTTGTTGTTTTTCATCGCCTCCAAAGAAGTGAAGTATTCAGATCCATCTAGCCCACTGTTCTTGAACTTACGCCGAGTAATCGGGCCAACATGACTGAGATCAGTAGATACGACATTAGTAGAGTCCTTGTATGAAAAATCACCACTCTTTCTGAAGGCCATTGTAGTAGTTGCCTTTGCAGTTTCTGATTTGCAAGAGAAAGAGATGAAGAGCAGAATCGGTCCCACTGGGAGTGCCAAATTTGTTCACAACAAATTTCCTTAAGCGCTGAAAATCAACTGCAAGAAGAATAAATAAAAGAAAATTTTTATTTTTATTGATGAATCGTTGTGAGTACAATTTTGTTGTTCTCTTGATTCTCTCTGATAAGATTCTCCAAGATTTGAGGGCCTTCAGTAGCGTATTTCTCGAAA